CATCCTCATCATCGGCATCATCATCATCAGCATCATCAACATCACCATCAGCATCATCATCATCGTCATCATCTGGGCGCCATCATCATCATTACCGACATCAGCATCAACATCATCATCATCATCATCATCATCATCACAATCATCATCATCACCATCGGGACGGCATCATCATCAAAATCATCATCATCACCATCACGATAATCATCATCATCGGGACGCCATAATCATCATCAACCTCATCATCATCAACATCATCATCATCGGGACACAATCATAATCAGCATCATCAACATCAACATCATCATACTCATCATCATCGGGACACCATCATCGTCATCATCATGATCATCAACATAATCATCATGATCATCATCATCCTCATCATCGGGACACCATCAGCATCATCATCATCGTCATCATCATCAGCAGCATCATCATCATCATCGCACCATCATCACATCATCATCGTCATCATCATCATCATCATCATCATCATCAGCATCACCATCATCATCATCATCATCATCAGCATCATCAGCATCAGCATCATCATCATCATCATCATCATCATCATCATCATCATCATCATCATCATCATCATCATCATCATCATCATCATCATCATCATCATCATCATCATCATCATCATCATCATCATCATCATCATCGCGGGACACCGCGGGACACCGGCGGGACACCGCGGGGCACCGCGGGACACCGCGGGACACCGCGGGACACCGGCAGGATACCGCTGGGACCGGCCGCCCGGTCAAGGTTCTTTTGGTCCGGCCGCGCCTCAGCCACACGGGACTTTCGCGGGACACCGACGGGACACCGCGCGCCACCAGCCGCCCGGTGGAGAATCATTTGGTCCGGCCGCGCCTCAGCCACAGGAGACTTTTTCTCGCCCGCCCACGCAGCTTCGCCTCGCCCGCACGCACGGCACGCACGAACACGAAACCGAAATCGATTTCCCGGTAGGGGGGCTCTCCGTTACACTTCGATCTCACCCCCTCACCTCCGATTTTCATACATTTTGGGGGGGTTTTCGTCTTCCCCCCACTTCCCATATTTTCCGGTATTTTCTGGGGAGCCCCACGGGAGCCCCAAGGGGCGGTGTGTCTCCTCTTCCTCCTCCTCTTCGTTTCCTCCTCCTCACTTTTTCCTCCTCCTCCTCCTCCTCCTCCTCCTCCTCCTCCTCCTCCTCCTCCTCCCCTCGCCCCCGCCGCGGGCCCCAAGGATGGCCCGAAGAAGCCTTCCAAGGCCGCCCCCTTGCTCCCAGAGATCTTTCTGTACATGCTGGATGCCCGCTCTGTTTCGCTATATGCCTCTTCGTCGCTTATCCTGTCAACTCGCATGTGCGCGAAACTTCGATAATTTGTTTCCATTGCGGGAAATGCCCCATTCAAAAACAAGCGTTTGAGAATTCACAACCATGCCAAAACAAACTTCCTGGGACTTCAACGCCGCGAATCAATCGTATCGGAACCGTCTTAAATCGCGCCACAACACCTCTTCTGGGACTTCGAGCCTACGAGCTCTTAAATTTGTTGCGAACTTTTAGAGCGAATGTGCGCGGTTTTGAAGCGAGAATCACATTTTGAAAAAGGAGCCGGCCCCCATCTTTGAAACTGGTGCGAACTTGTAAGACCATCGTGTGCGGCGCAAAAGAGAGAGAGAGAGAGAGAGAGAGAGAGAGCCTCATTTTGACAACGACCCGCGCTCCATCCATGAAACAATTCCGACCTTATGAAACGAATGTGCGCGGCGTTGAAACGATAACTACATGTTGAAAACCGCCCCATCCATCCGTGAAGCTGTTGCAGCATCGAGCTTCAGGATCACCAAAGGTGAGGACAAATCACGGGCGGAACGCTCGGCCCGCCCGGCCAACGCGCCTGGGGGTGAGACAAAGCAGAATCATGTATAATCGGGGATGGACAGACCTCCCTTTAGTAAAACGTGGTTTAGTGAAAACGACCTGAGGCCCAAACTTGGCGGGCGCAAGCCTGGAAAATAACGGCCGCGGCGCCCTCTCGAGAGCCGAAAACGGACAATTTACAAATCGACGTGTCACTCTTGGGGGTTCTGTCCGCCCCCAGTATAAGGGGTCTCGGAATCTTTGGTCCAAGAGGTGCGCGGTGCACACCACACGCAGGCGGGCCGCAATGGCAGGCAACCGGCACCCCCGGCCTCCCCCTGACGGGAAGAAGCGGGCCCGAAGGCGCGCGCGCACCGACGCACAAGGGGCAGGCAGCCACCTCCTCGCCCAACGACTCGCCTCCAGCCGAAAGGGGCGTGGTGCGCGCAGGACGGATGGAGGCGGAGGAGGGGCGATGGGGACGAGGCGTAAACGAGGGGAGGGGGAGCGGGGGTAGACAAGGAAACAACGACATTCAACTTTTGGCGCTCCGCACGGATTTCTCGGATCCGCGCCGGACCCACCCACCCCCGCGCGCGGAGCGCGCCAGGGGCGGCGCGGGAGGCGCCGCCAGGGGGGGGGGGGGGCACAGCGCGGATGCAAGGAATCCGCGCGGTCGCTTCTTCTTCGAGGATGGGGCAACTGCCTCGTCGCCCAGCGACTTGCCTCCAGCCGAGGAGGGCGCGGTGCGTGGGGCGAGGGGGGGGGGCGGAGGAGGGGCAGTGGGGACGAGGAGGGCGGAAGCGGGAGGGGGGGAGCGGGGCGGCGGGCCCCCGCCTCTCTCTCCCCCTCGCGGGCCGGGCGAGAGGGGGGGAGAGCCAAGGGGGGGGGGCTTGCCAGAATCAGCTCACGCGGCCGATTTTCCCGGCGCCGGGAGGCGCCCGTGCCTCGAGAACGGGGCCCCGCGGCGGGGCCGAAACCAGCTGCACGCAGCAGGGTTCGTAACTCCCCCCTTCCCCTATCCCCCCCCCCTCCGTCCGGCCCGGCTCTCTCCGCCGTGGCGCGCCCGCGCGTGGCCGGTGTTGGGTCGGGCGTGCCCTCCTGCAGGCGGGCAGTGGATGGAGCATAAGCCACAGGCTAAACAGAAGCAGGAAGAGTCAAGAGAGCACAGAGAATCGTCAGCTGACTATGTTCCCACTGCTCTTTTGACTCGTCCTCCCGCAGAGGGACATGCCTCGGTGATCTTCTGACCCGGGTCCATCCAGACCCCGGTCGGTCAGGCCTTGCAGACTCCTGCAAGATCCTGCACCCATACCCAGGTCGACGCCAAGGATCCTGCAAGACCCTGCAGGATCCTGCACCCAAGCCCGGGCCAATGCGACCCTGGCCCTGCGGGATCCTGTAAGGCCCGGCGCTCTGGCTGACCCCCGTGGGGAGGAGGAGGAGGAGGAGGAGGAGGAGGAGGAGGAGGAGGAGGAGGAGGAGGAGGAGGAGGAGGAGGAGGGAGGAGGAGGAGGGAGGAGGAGGAGGGAGGAGGAGGAGGGAGGAGGAGGAGGAGGAGGAGGAGGAGGAGGAGGCATCGCCCCCCGTCTCGAGGCTCCCGGGTGTCCGACGCAGGGCTGGCGCCGGGGTTGCTGCGCTCGCCTGTGCCTCGGACGCGGGGCCGCTGCGCGGAGGGGGCCTCGTGGGCGGACCCGCGGGCGCTGCAGAGCGCCAGCGGCTTCCCCCGCGGAGGGGGGCGGAGCCCCTGGAGGAAGGGGGCACCACGCGGCGGCGAGCGAGGGGGGGAAGTGAGCAGGGGGCAGCTTCGGGCTCGAGGTTCGAGGGCTTCGAACCTTCTTGTCGGTTCTCGGCGGCTTTCCAGGCTCGGGGTGCGTTGCAACGGCTGCGCCTCGCCGAGGGCGTTCCGGGGGTGCCAAAATCTTCCCGAACGGCCTCCGGAGAGCCGAGTTATGACCCAAAAAGGACAGGCGTCCGAGAAGGAGAAGGCCCTCTCAGAAGGCGGCAGGACTTCTCAAGAAGCCCTCGTGCCTTCTGAGAAGCTTCCTGTCTTCGGGGAAGGCTTCGGAAACTTCTCAGAAGGCTGGGGGACTTCCAAGCCTTCTGAGAAAGCCCGCCCCGTGTCACTTCCCCCCCAGGCTCGCCGTCGAACCATCCAGGGGAAACAGACAGAAACCGATGCCGCCACTCCGCGGACCTCTCCCAGGGTGCGTTCTGACCAAGGCTTCAATGCGAGTCCAGCTGTAATGGTGAGGGTGAGGAACTGGTACCAATATGTAGAGGAACAGAAAGCGGCATACACATTAAATTTCGACGGTCCGCTCGGAGCTGCGAGAAATTATGTTTACGCTGTTTTTTTTTGGTGGGGGGGTCCGACTATCTCCTCCTCTTCCTCCGACATCAGCCCCCCCCATCTCACCGGCCCTGCGCTGGTCGGCGCGGACGGAACTGGCGCGCAGGACGGAGCCGCGGAGCATTCGCTCGGACGCCCCGAGGGGGTACGGAAGAAATGGGTACGATGCCCAAGAATCGGCGGTGGACACACCTCCCTTTAGTAAACCTCCCCTTAGTGAAAACGGCCTGGGACCGCAACCGACGGACCTGGACCCGCAAAAATGATGGCCGCGACGCCCTCTCGCGAACGGAAAACGGCCGATTCGCTAATCGACGTGTCAGGATACGAGGTCTATCAACCTCCGAAGGGAGTAGGGGGAGGGGGAAGGCTCCTTAGAAGCACCCCTGCTTCTCAGAAGGTGCGGGTCTTGTCGGTGTAGGGCTGGCGCCTTCTGAAGAAGCAGCATCCTTCTAAGAAGCCTTCCACCCTCAACCCAACCCCCATCTGCGCGCCGCCAAGGAGTACGACTTGGACACCCGAAATGGGTGCGGCCAAAATTGGGCACGATGCCCAACAGCAAAAGCTGTTCACAACCGACAGTGGCCGCTGTTGGGCAAGCGGCCTTCTGTCTCACATGGACAACGTCCGCATCGACACCGACAGCGAGTCCGGTTCAACCGGTTCAAAATGAGCAGGACATGCTGTCGGCCTTTGTACCCGATCTGTCCGTACCCACGTCGATCGTTTCGAGTTCGGACTCTGCCAGGTATGTCCGCCGCCCGGCCGGGGCCCCCGAGCGGCTCTCCTTCTTCTGGAACGCCGACAGCGCGACGTCGCCGCCGCCCTGGGCCCCCAGTCAGAGCGGACGGATGGGACGACGACGAATGGGACGACAACGAATGGGCCGACGACGACGACGCCGACGACGACGACGACGACGGCGGCGGCGGCGGTGGCGGCGGCGGCGGCGACGGCCTGCGGACGAACCGGGATCTCCGAGGTCGGGTGGTTCTGGGGTTAAGTCGGGCATGTCCGTCTACAGGAAGAATATCAGAGAATAGTGAACAAAAGGTAAACCGGCGACGACTTGTCGTGCTTTTTGGACTACTTTTGAAGATCTGTTGGCTACTTCTTTTCTTCGAGAACCCGCCTGTAGGAGGACGCAGCCGACCAAATTCTGGAGGACGCACGGGGCGCCGCGGCCGTTCTGGAGTGCTCTGGAATGCTTTGAGAGGCCCCCCCCCTCGTTTTCAGGCCACCTCCATTGCCGCCCGCCCGAACGCTCTGGAGCGACTTTTATCCGTGCCCCGCCCCGCCCGAAGCTCCCCGCCCCTCCTCTGGGGATCCAAGAACTTGCAAACATCAAGGAAAGCGATGATGCCGGCCTCTTAGGCCTCCTTGGGGGTCCAGGATGGCCTCCAGCCGGCTTGTGATGGCCCCCGAAGCTCAGGATTAGGTCGGGCATGTCCTCCTACAGGCGGATTTCCGAAGAACATAAAGCATAGCCAACATATTCAAAACATGTCAACAAGAATCGAAGCATCGTCCCCAGACTATGTTTATGTTTGAACATTCCTCCTGTGGAGGGGCATGCCCGACTTGAGCTTAGGGGGAGAGGCAGCGAATCGGCCGCACGGATCTGGTTTTCCTGGCGCTCCGCAGCGCCGCAGGCGGCGAGGTATCGAGGAGAGCTGCCAAGCGGTGGGGCCGAGACCCACTGCATGCGGCAGCTTGCGTGTCCCCCTATTGCAATTTTTTGAGACATATCGTGAACGTTATCTCATTCTGCGTTTCGACATTGGGCGGAAGAGGGGGGGGCTGGCTCCAGACCTCTGCCTAGCGAGACTGCTTGCGACCGTGCGTCCGATGGGGGAGACACCACCTGCTCGAAACGGGCGCCAAAAACAGCCAAGATCCACTCCATGGGGGGAGTGCGAGGGCCTGCGCCGATCGAGAAAACAATGAATAAGAAAACGATGACACCCCTATTCCATGTTTGGCATCACCCTGCCCCGATGCTGATCCTAAGAATTGTCGCAGGTTCTGAGGGCAACTCCCTGAGATTGTCATCGCTTTTTGGCTTGCCCATCTCAAGGATAGGGATCAATTCGAGTCTGGTTATCCTATGCCTTTCCCACCCGCTCTCTTCCCCTCACCCTGACCAGGAGAGCGGCAAACAGATCAGACCTTCTCCTCTTGCCCTGACGCCTGGGCGGCCAGGACAAACAATATACGCAATGTGACGGGTACGTTCGCTTCGTTTTTCGAAACCAGGGGACTTCACCGATCTGGCTCGAGATATACTACCTAAAAATGGGGTCACCAACTCCGGTCGTGTCTTGTTTGGTTCACGAAATTTCGTGTTGTTACGTCGTTGGTATCTGGTTCATCAATCTCCTGATCATCGTCGGCATTCTTGTCGTCCTCGTCATTCTGGTCGTCCACTGTCTCCACCTCCCCCTTCTCCTCCTCGCCCCTTCCTCGCTCCCCTCGTGCCATCTCCCACTGCTCTCCTCTTCCTCCTCCTCCATCCTGTTCCTGATGAGATAACTCATGCCCGTCGCACCCCGAAACGTGTTGGTAGGGCGGGCCGAACGTTTCGCCTGCGACCTCATCACAACTTCGGATCCTGAAGCTGGAAGGTTTGCAACAGTTTCAAGCAAGGGTGGAGGGCGGGTGGTTTTCAACATGTGGCTCTCGCGTTAGCGCCGCGCACACTCGTCTTGACAAGTTCCAAGGGATTCACGGATCGAGGGTGGGTCCAAACTGTGGCTCTCGCCTTAGCGCCGCGCACACTCGTGTGAAATATTCAACAATTTCAACCAGAAATCCCACCAGTCCGTTGGGCTAAGGTGGTCTAGCGATATCTGTCCCTCCTCTTCCAAAAACCCTCTTCCCTTCGGGGAGGGGTGCCCTCCCACTACCCTCCCTGAGTTTTTTTTTTTTGGGGGGGGGGGTCGCGATCGGTCAGGACGCCCAAGATGGCTCCAAGAGGGCCTCCGGTGCTCCAAGATGTCTTCCAAGGCGGCTCAAGATAGCCGAAGCTGGTTCAAGATATGCCTCCAAGAGACCCGACGAGGGCCACAGGACAGATCTAAGTGCTCTCGGAAACCCCTCAGGACCCCCCAAGAGGCCAACATTCATCAACAACCTAAGGGGCACCAATGATGTTTGCCTCCTCGCTCTTTCGCTTCCGATGCGCTTGTGTTGCCTCAATGTTGCCCCAAGAGTAACCGAGAGAGCCCCAAGATGGGCCAAAGAGGCTCCCAAGGCGGCCCCCAGAGCGCCTAAGATCGCCCTGGGAGCGCCCCCCCCCCCCAAGCGGTTTCGACTGCCCCGGGGGCAAACGCTAGGACCCCTCTCTTGTCACCAACGCCCTCCACGATAGCACCAAGAGGCCCTCTAGGGCTCTCAAGAGGCCTCCAAGAAAGCCCAGGGCCGCAAGATAACCCAAAAAAGAGGGGACCCCATACCCTCCAAAATAGCCAAGAAAACTCCAAGAAACGATTTGAGGACTCTGTCCGTGTCCGCGTTGTCCTCCTCCTCATCATCCTCCTCCTCGTCCTCGTCTTCGTCCTTGCCCTCATCGTCTCCCAGAGGGTCCCATGGGGTTGCAAACCTGAACGAAAAAGCCGGGAGCACCTTGGGCCAGGGGCACCTCTTAGCAACCCCCGACCTTCCCTCGATCCCCCTGAGATCCGACTTGGTGCAACATGGCAAAAAATCATGACCAATGCCCCCGACCCCATCTTTCTGCGCCATTTTTCGGGCCGGGTCGATCTGCGAGGGTCCCGGGGCCCGACATTGACCGAAAACGCCCGCTGTGAAAAGACTGTAGCGCCAGGATCTCAGGGCCTCCATTCTCTCCCACTTCGCCTCCGCCTGCGGCACGCCCCCCCGCTCCACCGGGACCAGTTTCTCATCCAGAATCGTTTCTTGACGGTCCCGAGGCCCGGTAAGGGCGCCCCGCGGCCACAACAGCGAAAAACATCCCGTCCGGATTTTTCCGTTGCTCGAGGGGGTCTGGGTTCCCTCCTCCATTCTTCTCCACTTCATCTCATCCTGCGGCACGCCCCACCCGCTCCCCCCAGGGCGCCTCCGCGCCTTCGCCCCGAGGTTCAGGGAGGGCCGACCTTGCTGGGGCGGGGGTAGCAGCGGGGTTGCTGGGCCGATATTCCATCACCACTACCATCGGTAGGAGAGGGAGGCAAAAGAATAGGAGGAGGCAACAAAAATAGGAGGAGAAGGAGGAGGAGGAGGCAAAAGAATAGGAGGAGGAGGAGGAGGAGGAGGAGGAGGAGGAGGAGAGGAGGAGGAGGAGGAGGGAGGAGGAGGAGGAGGAGGAGGAGGAGGAGGAGGAGGAGGAGGAGGAGGAGGAGGAGGAAGAGAGGAGGAGGAGGAGGAGGAGGAGCGACAGTCGCCCACCGGAACGGGTTCTCCCATCACTTCATACACTGAGTATGACAACCTGCAGCTGGGCTGAGCATGGAACTCCATACGCTGGAAATGACAAAAGACAGATTTGTGAATCAAAATTGCTGATTCGAACGGGGACACTGGGGACGGCATCAGCAACAGCCGGAATAGGAGCATGCGGCAGAAGCCAGAAACAGAGGGGGGACGGGCGACAAGATCACCTATCCGGCCGCGCCTGGAACAGTGATGGCTAAGGCGGCCTCGGCTACGGCTGCTAACTGGGCGTGCAGGCTGTTCAGCATCACGCGCACGTCCACGATGGAGCCCCGAGTGTCGTCGATGATCGGATCGTCCTGAATCACTGGATCAGCTGCCGCGTCCGTGTCCTGGGCCTTGACGGCATCCTCGTGGTCCTCCTTGTTTCTCTTCTTCTGCTTCTTCCTCGGCTTCATATCTTTGCTCCTGTGGCTGGCCGCGGGGGCCTCGGCAGCGGCGGACGTGGTGGCCATCGCACGCTCGGTGACGTGAGCATTAGGTCGGGCATGTTCCCCTACAAGCGGATTTTGGACGAAAAATAAAAACATACTTCCAAAATGCTGAACAAATAATCAAAAATGGTAGAAACATCGTCCCCTGACTATTTTTTTTACTATGTTGGAATTTTCCTCCTGTAGAGAGACACGCCCGACTTAACGAGAGCAGCTTCTGACTCTCTGGCAGCCAGCCCCGGGGCCGCGGCGAGCGTCTCCACGCCGGCGCAGGGGGGCCCACGGAACCACCGCGGCCACCGGCAACGCCTCTACGCATTCGGCCTCGACGGCCTGGACGGCGCACCCACTGACCCGGCACACTCTTTATGAGGCAACTACTGGGAGGTTTTCGTCGGAAAACTTAAGGGGGATTGATTAAGACCCATTTGGCAGCGGTTACGCCGGAAAAGGCCTGGGACTAAGCAGGATGAAGCCGGATTGAGCGGGACTAAGCTGGATTAAGCCGGATCTCGGACCAGGGCGAAAACAGGATTTGACCTCCCAGGAGTTGTGTCCGAACTCTCTGGGCCGAGGCAGCGCAGAAGTCGGAGCGGCCGCGTCCACCAAGCGAGAACCACCCGCACGCCCCGAGGATGCCGGCTCCGGGGTCTGCGGCTCCGCGCCGGCGCCAGGCCGCTTGGCCTGCTCGGAGATCGCTTGCTCCGGGCTGATCTCCGTTCGCGCCGCAGCCTCCACGAGGCCGTCCCGATTTGTGGCACTTCTCCGCAGCCGCGCGCGGAAAAAGGAAGGATTACCGGAAGCATGCCGTAATCGCTCACGTCGTTCGTGCAATCCGCGGGCGCCTCCGCTGCCGAACTCCCAGAATTGACGCAGTCTGGATTGCCGGTGCTGTTGGCGTGGCCGTAGATGGCATCCAAAACCTCTTCACGAAGCTTATCAGCAGAACCCGCACAAATGTGCTGAATAAGGTTGAAAACGCCGTCGAAGAACATCTATAGCTAACTTCGAATCGATGATCCCCTGCCGACGGAGGTCCCTCCCCGCCTTCTCGAGGCTCTCGTAGTGACGGTTGGTTGTGGCAGCAATGCCACGCAGCAGCTCTCCATGAAAGTCAGCCAAAATGGGTACGGAGGAGGAGGAGGGCCTCCACTTCCTCCTCTTTCCCCCGTCCTCACTATGGTAATGGTGGTGGAAAATCGGCCCATCAAGGATATCACCAGACCTGAGCTAAGACGAGGCCAGGGCGAGGACAAATTCGAGTGAGGACGCATCGAGAATCTCTGAGATCTGGCGGCTCTGGAAAACACATCAGGCGCCGCGGCCTTCTCCGAGCATGTCGGAACGCTCTGAGAGCGCTCCGGAACGCTCTGGAACGGAATTATCCTTGTCCCAACCCCGCCCAATGAGCGCCCCCGCGGCTGGAGCCTGGCAGACGACAGAGGTAGGTCGAACATCCATGTCAGGATGCCACTGGCTCAGGACACGTTCCAGAACTTCTGAAGTATATATATATATATATATATATATATATATATATATATATATATATAGATATGCAAGACTGCATTGGCGCTGCGCGCCATGCACCTTGGCCCTTTGGAATTCGCACGTCAGCGATGTGCGAGCGTGCGTGCGTGCGCACACACATGCGTCTACGAATGCATAATACATATGTACATATATGTATACGTTTGTATGGATATGTGCACGTATACGCAAATGGTCAGTGTAACTGTGTGCGCGCATACACATGTGTATATCAGGCGGTAGTGGCCTGACCAGTTGCTCATATCATCGCGCCAGTAAAAAGGCGCGAGGGTCTCAAGCGAACGTGGTCAGACTACCGCGGGGCAGTGCGTCGCCGAGGTCAGTGTTGCGAGGGCGTCCCGGGTGAAAATGGCCTGAGCACCTCCGCTCAGGGGAGGGCGTATCCGAAGTCAGCCGCGCGAGGAAGTTTCAAGCGAGGAGTGGTCTGAACGCCTCTGCTTAGGGCATCCATGAACTTAGAGTTGCGACAAGTCGCACGCGAAAGTGGCCGACGTTGCAAGTGTTCGTGCGGCCGTGAGTCCCCAGGGAGTGTTTCCCCAGGATGTGCGCTGAAACCGAAGGTTCCCGACGGCCTGATCTCCGAAATGTCACGAAAACCCTGGTTCCCAACGGCGCGTCCGGATGAGATGGCGTCGTGGCCCCGACGGTTTGCATTGAATGTTGCGAGAAGCTCAGTCGAGGCAGGAGGAGGAACATGAATAGGATGAGGAGGAGGAGGAGGAAGAGGAGGAGGATGCAGAGGAGAAAGAGGATGAAGAGGACAGATTATGTGGATATCTGGGGCACAGCCGAGGTGTCGCGGAAGAAATCCGCAGCAGAGACTTGGGAGAGTGAGGAGAGCTGCTTCTGCTAGACCTTTGGCGGGGCGGAACGTGAAACATCACCGGGAACTAGGAGAAGGAGGAGGAGGTAGAGGAGGAAGAGAATGAGGAAGATGAGGAGGAGCTCTTGGGTCCTTCGGTGGTTTGAACGAAAAATGGCCTCGCTGCGCCATTTGATACGACAACGACGACGGCGAAGAAGGCGACAACAAAGAGAAGGGATAATGAGAGGGGGAGACCGCTGTGTTGGGATCTCGTGGTGCGCCTCTCGGGGCCCTCTGGGAAGCAGTTTGAAGCCTCTTGGGGGTGTTTTGGGGTTCTGGGGATCTTTTTGGGGCCTCTTGGGGGCCTCTTGGGGTCTCCTTGGGGCCTCTTGGGGGCCTCTTGGGGCCTCATGGGGCTCTCTCCGGGCCTCTTGGGGCCCTCTCGCGGCGGAAAATTTAGTTTTTGAATTTTTGAGCGCCCTCTTGGGTCTCTCTTGGGGCCGTCTTGGTGCTCTCTTGGGCCGTCTTGGGCGTCTCTTGGGCGGTCTCGGAACCCTCCTGGACCGTGTCGGGGCCTTCTTGGGGGCCTCGTGGGCAGTACTGGGGCGATCTAGGGAGCCTCTTGGGCCATTGTGGAGCGTCGGGAAGCGGGGAAAGCGAGAAGGCCAAAAACATCGACAACCACACAGGAAAATCAACAATTGTAGCCTCTCGGGGCTCTCTTGGGAGGGCTCTTGGGGGTCTCTGGGGGCGTCTTGGACGCGTCTTGGGCAGTCTTGGGCCCAGATTGGGCGTCTTGGGCCGATCTTTGGGTGTCTCGGGGCCCTCTTTGGCCGTCGTGGGGGCTTTTTTTTTCGCGTCGCACTCGCAGGACAGACACGGAGCACTCTGCAGGAGCGCCCCAAAGGCTCGGGGAGGCCGAAATTCGTTTGGGGGGGGGGAGGGCACCGTGTGCCGCTTTTCCGGGGTCCCCGGCCTTGTAAAAATATATAATTAGAAATATGTATATGTATATAGCGGCCCTCGTCTCTGCAGCCGGTGTGGAACACTAGGAATTCACCGACGAATCTAGGGAACCTTGCCACGTAGCATTATCATTACCTCCTTCGGCTACACGCAGAAGTGACCCTGGGTGAGAGTGACCTTTGGTGCGCGACTTTTTGGGAGCCGCGGGGGCACCAAACCTGGGCGCGCAAGCAGCTGCTGTTGCTTCGTTTTCAGCCATCTGGGGACCCACCTGTGCCCGCACCAAAGGTCACTCCGGCGAAAGGTCTCTCCTACGCCTAGTCGACTCCTGCTCCTCGGAGCAGGCGGTGAGGCGCCAGGAAAGGCGGGGCACACGCGGGCAGCTCGGGCGAGCGCGATCTACCCGAGAGCCGCCCCCTCTGGCCCCGAGCCCCGGCCTCCCGCTGGCCCGCGTCACCACCGAGAAGCAGAAGAGCAGGTCCCCGTGGAGCTCGCCTCGGCCGCCGGCGGGGGAGGAGGGCGCGGGCCGGCGGTCGAGGGCTGCCGAGAGGTGCCCCTCTGGCCTTAAGGTGCCCCTGAGCTGTTCGATCAGCCTTGGAGCCCCTGGGGGCCCCGGGGGGCGTCGTGAGGGGCGCTCGGGAGGCCGCGGGGTCGGGGACGCACTGGCCCGGGTTGCATGCAAGCCCCGGCCAGTCAGGCTCTGCTAGAGGGGGCCAGGGACACACGAAGAAAGAGGCACAACTCCCAGGATTGCCCATATTTCCAATATTTTCAATGTTTTCGTCGTCGCCCCCCCCCCCACTTCCCATATTTCCCCATATTTCCTTGGAATCGGCGATTGCTTGTGCCTGTATGTTTTGTCCTCCTGATCTGCAGGATCCTGCAGGATCCTGCGCGCTAACCAGGGTCATCGCACCCCAGGCTCTGCAGGATGCTGCAAGATCCAGCGCTCTGGCTGACCTCCGTTCGCATTGGCCCCCGTCTCAAGGCTCCCGAATGGGAGCCTCCATGGAAATCCAGGGTGCACCTTTCGGGCCGGACAAACGAGGAGGAGGAGGAGGAGGAGGAGGAGGAGGAGGAGGAGGAGGAGGAGAAGGAGGAGGAGGAGGAGAAAGAGGAGGAGGAGGAGGAGGAGGAGGAAGAGGAGGAGGACGGGGAGGAGGAGGGGGGGGGATGGAGAAAGGGTCGGGTAGCGAATCAGCTCACGTAGCCGATATTTCCGGCGCCTCTCGGCTGCCCCGAGGGCGCCCATGTAGCGAGGACTGGAGCCCGGCGGCGGGGCGGAAGGCCAGCTGCACGCAGCAGATGTCGCACCCCCCCCTTTCCCTATCCTTCCCTTAGGACTACCCCCCAACCCAACCCGAAGACCCGATTTTTTTGTTTTTTTTTTGGGGGGGGTACGAGTTCCCACGTGTTTTGTTCTCAATGTTCCCCGACGTCCCCCCTACTGGGAGTGGAGGGCAACTTGGGGCCTTCGGGTTGGGATGGGGTGGCTTGGTGGGTGGTGACCTTTCGTGGAAATCCTGGGGGCACCTTGTTGAGCAGGGACAGACCGCCCCGGCATTCTTATAAGCCCACCACGAAAGGTTCCCAGAACCCAAACATGTTCGAAGAACAGAAGCAATGTTCTTAGAACGTCAACCCGATGTGTCAAAAACCAGATCTCGTGCAAAGCACTACGTAAAGGTGCTTAGAATATTATTTGGTGGGCCTATCAAGCAGAGACGCTTCGCCGATGCATCGGCGACGTCGGCATGGAGAACATTGGGCTCCATATCAAGCCACATTGCCGATGCATCGGCGACGCGGCGCGATCCTCCGACCCCAATTACACGTCGTTCATTTCTTATCGTGCTCATTTCTGAGTGTGCTCGTTTCTAATAGATCCTGGCCCCCTAGTGGCCAGGAAGAGGCCCAGGATAGAACAATCAATTAGAAATGAAAGGACCTTGGCCCCCAACAAAAATCACAGACCTCTCGAATAATTACGCATGAAACATGTGTCGGGTTTTGTCCTCGCCCGTTGGGGCGGTGCTGGGCCCTGTGGGGCTCGGCGTGGCCCTTCGGGGTCGGCTGGCGTGGTCCTTCTGGGGCCGCGGGCGGTTCAACACACCGTGGCGCGGGCGCGCGGCCAGGGACCGCTGGAGCGGTGCGTATCACCAGAGCCCTCGGAGCCCTCACTGCGCCCCTCGGCCCGCCGCCGACAGCTGTCAGACGTCCGCCAGGGAGCAGGAAGGGGAGGGGGAGGAGGAAGAGGAGGAGGAGGAGGAGGAGGAGGGGGGAGGAGGGGAGGAGGAGGGGGAGGAGGAGAAGGGGAGGAGGGGAGGAGGAAGGAGGAGGAGGAGGAGAGGAGAGGAAGGAGGAGGAGGGAGGAGGAGGAGGAGGAGGAGGGAGGAGGAGGAGGAGGAGGAGGAGGAGGATGAGGAGGAGGAGGGAGGGAGGAGGAGGAGGAGGAAGAGGAGGAGGAGGAGGAGGAGGAGACGCTGAGGCTATATATATATATATATATATATATATATATCCACTCTCGGTTGAGCCTTTCGCTTGGAAAGACTGCCCGGACTGCCGCCACGGCGCACCGAGCACGCTCTGCGCGAAGCCACTGGCCGCCGACAACCTTCCCCCTGGCCATCGCTCGGACGTCCACTCCCTGTGTTTTGTTCGGTTTCGTGCGTGGTTTTTTCGCAGGATGATCAAGGATACTCCTTGATAATCCCCGCCGAGAAAGAGTGCACACGTCCGAGCGATACCAAGCCCCCCAGGCCGCGCTCAAGATTTCCCCCATGGACCTCTCCCACAGCGCGTTCCGGCACGGACTCAGGCGTGGCGACGAGGCCACCCCCAGGGGAGGGCCAACCCTTGCCACAGGCACCTGAACAGGGGTAGGGCTTTTCGCTAAAAGCCGCAAATTTCGCTACGCCACTCCTCAAAATCGGCCCCCCCAGGCCTCTCCCGGGGGCGCGCTTATGAGGACGAGAAGTGAAAACTTTAGTCTTGTAGGGTGCCAGACAGCGCGCTGGGCTCACATCAAACATGCTTGATTGCCGCCGAGACCATCCGAGCACTGACCAGACCAATCGGCCGTGGCGTTCTCAGGGCCACAGTCAGTCAAAGTCAGTGCTCGTGCCTGGACACCCACTTGAAGAAACTCGGCCGAACCCAACGCTGACCAGACCCTCTTTTCTGATTCTGGCCTCCATCTTCCTCAGAGGAGCAGCTCCGGGCCGGGATACCGCTGGCCTCCGTCTTCCTCAGAGGAGCAGCTCCGAGGCGGGATACCGCAACTTGTGCCCTCTGATAGCACGCCCTGCACGGCTGCCCTGGATGCCACCGGAGGCGCGCGAACGGCCGCGCGCGGGCCCGAGGCTGGGCGAGTGCACTGGCCCTCCTGCTGCCGACGCAGGCCCAGCGCAACGCCCTGCCAACGAAACGCTGGCTACCTGAAGGATAACGAGAAACCGCCAGGCAGGCCACCTGCACGTGGACCGCGCTCCAGGGAGGAGGAGGAGGAGGAGGAGGAGGAGGAGGAGGAGGAGGAGGAGGAGGAGGAGGAGGAGGACTGTTGCAGGCCCAAAAGGCAGAACAAAACAGTGGCGCTCAGCAAAGCGCGGGCCAACGTGCCCTGGCCAACGGCCAAAGTGGCCAACGGCCAACACCAAGGGCACGCGCGCAAAAAGAGGGGATCACGGAAACAAGCTGGGACCTGACCTCCGGCCTCTTTTCCTTGACTAACTCCCAATAGCGCCAGAAACGCTGTGCCTTAGGGAGGAAATCAAGGAAAAAAACAAACCAAGGACCGCCCTACACCCCGCGCCAAAATGGCGCACGGGGGTTCGGGATCGGCGCCCAGGGGACAATACACGGAGCGTTGCCCAGCGCCCACACCCTCACAAGCACGGCAACAGTGTGCCCGCGGCAAAGAGCACTGCGACCAAGAGGTTACAGGCGGAAAGCCGCGGGCCCCGCCTCCGTGGTCGTCAAACGGCGGTACACCTCAGACCAGGAGGTGCCACTGGGGTCTTCCCGCGCCCAGGCCGCACCTCTTGGCCGAGGTGGCAGGGCACTAAAAGCCCTGGCCTGACAGCTGCAACGGCAACAGCAGCGGCAGCAGGGAGGGGGAGGGGGAGGGGGCCACTCTCCGGCCCGGGAGCGCAAACAACGTCCACCCTGGAACCTAATCCAGGGCCGTGCCGCAACTCCCAAAGTGGAAAAGGGCGACGGACATGACGACGAAACGAGACACGAAGGACGACAACGAACGACCACGAACCTCCCAGCGGGAGGTGCCGCCCTCCGCCCTATCCTTATCGCACCCAGAACGCGGGCGGGATAAGGATCTGACATCATCGGACCCACACCGCATTCAGGCGGTGCCACCCGGAGCCCAGGCAACACCGCTTATCCGCGGTGGCGAGGCATTTGAAAATTGCCTCGGCCTGACGGCAAAAAAAGGAGGAGGACGAGGAGGAGGAGGAGGAGGAGGAGGAGGAGGAGGAGGAGGAGGAGAGGAGGAGGAGGAGGAGGAGTAGGAGAGAGGAGGAGAGGAGGAGGAGGAGGAGGAGGAGGAGGAGGAGGAGGAGGAGGAGGAGGAGGAGGAGGAGGAGGAGGGGAGGAGGGAGGAGAGGAGGAGGGAGGAGGAGGGAGGAGGAGGAGGAGGAGGAGGAGGAGGAGGAGGAGGAGGAACACGGATCATCTCTCAGGGGTGGGGTGCGATCCTCTGCTCCAGCCGGCCGCCGCCACGGGGCGAGGAGCGGCCGCAGGCGAGGCCCCTGCCTGGATCGCCCCCGCGCAGCTGGCGCGGGCCCTCCCTCGAAAGCGGTTCCCGGGCTCTTCTCCTGGGGGGCGCCTCTCGACCACAGGGACTCCGACGCGGGCCCCGCCGCGGCGGCGAGGGGCCCCCCGCGCTGCCCAGGGCGAGGCGCCCTGCGCCCCCGGGCAGCCCCCCCCCGAGAGGCAGGAGGAGCATCCGACCGAGCCAGGCGCGCAGCGTCCTCACGGGCCCGCCGCCGCCCACGGGCCCAGCAGATGCGCCGCCGCCGCCGCCGCCGTCCCAACGCTACGCTGACGGCGATGTTGCTCAACGGCGATGTCGGAAACCGAATTGTAGGAAACCGCGGACCACACTCTCCTAGATCCCCAGTGTGCGAATGTATCGAACGAAACCGACGCAGCAACTTGCAGGAAAACGCGAGCCACGCGTTCCCACAACACCGAAACCTACGTCGCCGTTAGTGCGTCTACGGCCGTTGCCGCTGCTGCTGCTGCCGCCGCTGCCGCCGCCAGCAGCCCGGCTTCTTCCGGCTGCACGCACATGAGAGCGGCCCTGGGCAAGAGTGGCCTTTGGCGCGCGGCTTTTGGGGGGCGCGGGGAGGCCAAACCCAAGCGCGCAAGACTCTACTACCGCACCGCACGCGGCGAGCGGGGGCCCCCCATGGGCGCGCTCTCCAGAGGTCCCTCCGGCGAAGGGTCCCTCAGACCGCGCACCCGGCTTTTGT